TCCTCGTCTTCCAGGAGAGCTGCACCGAGTGAAGATCCTTATGGTTGATAGGGGATGGAACTGAGAGAGAGCGCTGCATTGGTTCTCCAGGCGCACCGGGAGTTTCTGTGTAGACAGTTAGCCCTACATCCCTCAACAAAGATTCTTGAGGGACTGGGATGTCTTGTCTGTATAGTTGGTTTAATTCACTTTGTGGTAGAACAGAGGAAAGGAAACAACTGGGTTGTGAATTAGAGTGAATGTAAAGATTCTTTTTCAAGGTTGTGTGGTTGGCATGGGGCATGTCAATGCTGTCTATATCAACAGTAGAGGCAAAGGACTTTGATTTCTTTTTAATAATGTTGTTCTTTCCTGTGTGCAGTGGTGGCAAACTTATTGCTTCCCGACCAGGTTCTGGACCAACAATAAAGTGAGCTTTTGATTTGAACCAATCTTGCCTCTTATTCACCCTGTCAAGATCATCTCTCAACTGACCCACACTGGATGTCTTCTTGATTGTGTCTTCTTCCATATCCCTATTAATAGTCTCCAATTCACCACTAGCATCACAGGGTCGTCGGTTCACTGGCTTTAAGAGAAACTGACCAAAGACCACTTTTTCTGGACTCTCCTGGTGAATACTTTCCCTAGGAGAGGATGACCTCTGTTCTTCCTGATTCCTTGCCACTGAGTATGGTTCCTGTTCTGACTCCTTGAAAAGTGGTATTTGTGTTGAGATAGGGCTGAGACGAGAGAAAGCGCTGTTGCTGGAAAGATGAAGGTTCTTCTGGCCTGCCATAGGGTAACTATAAGAGGAGCTACTGTTATTTGCAACATCACTGTCAGTCTTTGAGACAGATAGAACAGCTTCTTGTACAGCATTAGGAGTATGAGGTTCTGGACTGTTTACCACTGTCAAAAGTGAGCAAGTCTGTGTTTCTTGATTACGATACTGGTTTCCAGGCCAGGAGCCAGTACAGCCTAACTTTTTGTCTTCATTTGCTGTGTATGCCCAGGCATCTATTGTCTCCTTCCTTAAAGGAGCTCTTTTGTCTGTTGAGGATTTACTGCTGGTGTGAATGTGGGGTCTGACAGGTATCTCATTCACAGATTTGCTACGAATGTTTGCACTTTCTTTGAGCCCAACAGCAAAAGTGCCAGTGTTGGTAATTGTCAGGTTTGCAATCGCCTCATTGTCCTGGTTACCTGATAAGTTGTTGCTAAAGTTTGATGGCATGTGTACAGGAACAGATACAAGGCAGAAGATCGTCTCACTCACTCTCCTCTTGGTGCTGCTGTTCATCTCTGTTCTTGAATCTGGTACAATTTTTTTCACTTGGGTGATGGTTTCTCTACAAATCTTGTCGTGTCTGGAACCCTGATAAGAAGAGGTTCTTGGTAATGAGGCTTGAAAGGCTGAAAAGGGTGATGGAGAAGGATGGTGGGTTTTGTGATGTCTGTTACAGTTTTGGTCGGTCGCTGGCAAGTTATCAACAGTCTCTTTGTGCAAATTGCTCTGCCATCTCTTATTGTCACAACTTGATGATGTCAGATTGACAGCAACAAATGGCCCCGGTGGTGGGGCTAAAAAGGCACTGTCGTCTTGGGAAAGCTCAGACACTGGAATGCTAGGAAGCTCATTACGGATGTGGCGAATCTTATCAGCATCTGTCAAGGAGTTGCCACCCAGGGCTGAGGAAAACTTATTGATACATGGATCATCAAATGGAATACATTTTACTCCCCCTCTGTTCTCTTTGCTAGAATACAAAGGGTAACACTGTTTCTGACAGGACACACTTCTCTCCATGTGGGGATGAGGCCAAGAGCCAGCTGGATATCTGATGAACCAATGAGATTCATCGGGTGCCATTTTTATCTGCTGATACATATCCCCTCTGCACCTATATCAAAACAAAAATGTAACACAGATATAACAGTGACGTCAAAATTAGATGTTTGAATAATAACTCAATTGCTAATTTAGGAGGCGTGAGGACACTTAGTTATTATTCAGATAATGTTCTCAACATGTGTGTGTAACATTTGTAATATCCACCAGCAAAGTGCAAGATTAAAATCTTGCACCCACTTTAGGGCACTTTAATTCTGGTTATGCCAGCACAGTTATTTTTTCTTTTGGTGAAAAAAAATCTTAATAAAGGGAGAACCAAATATTTATCTTATTTGTTTTCAGATGACTTTGTGCTCCTCTGAATTATCACTGATTCTTAGAGGTGCCAAAACATTCTTATCACTACTGTGAAGAAAATGAAAATTCTATATTCATTCATAAATTCAAATGTAAAAATAGAAAGACAAGGAATTTGTGGAATTGCAAAGGCAATATCCTCTTCCTTATTTTTCTATTACAATAAAAATATCTAAATGCATCTACCAATATCGATTTGAAAGTATTAAAGTTTTTTCTAAGGGCCCCTAAACTTGAATTCAACCTTTTATTGTGACAATGATATGAGTATTGTATCTCTTGTATATATCAGTATATTTGAAACTTAATTTAAAACCAAGGGTTACTCACAGGCTTAATCGACACCTTATCATTTCTCTAATAAATGTTTTAAAAAAAGAAATCACTGATTAATTACTTGAAGAACAAAAAATAACTTACCTGTAATCAACAGCTATTTGTCCATAATTCTGGAGCCCACCTGCCATTATTGGAGCTCTTTTATATGATGGGGGAGGAATGTATACCGGCGGTCCAGAGTCGTGTGCAAAAGAGTCTAAGTGGGGGTCAGGTGTTCTTGCTATGGGAAGTGGTGTTCTGTCCCTGGTCTGTGGGGTGAGTAATTCTCTGCCAGACAACAACTCACAGCTTCCCCTGATCTGCTGGTGCATTTCATAAGATGGAGGTCTGGGAGGGCGGGTAAAGCGGGGATTTGGTGTCATTGAGAGTTGGTTGGCACTAGCTGGCCTACCATTCTCTGACCGACGCGGTAATCTATAATGATGGTGGTGTGACAGTGGGTGACCATTCATTTGGCTGTACAATTCCTGACTGGACAACGCTATGTCAACATATTGCAGGCTATCAGGTTGAAGCATCCTGGGTAGGGACTGGCATTTGCTTTTGGCCGTAGGGTGGACAACTGTGCCCTCTGGTGTTCCTGCATAAAACCGTTGCTGCCCTTGTACCCAACGCTCACTGTTGGTTTTATGCAGCTGCCGACCAAAGCCTACAGCTGAATGCCACTCATCTGTTTCAAGGCTCTGGTACTTTCTGTCATTCATCAAACTGGACTGATGGAGAACTGCCTCATTTTTTTTACAGAGGGCCTGAACTTGATGCTGAGCCTTGGACTGAGTTGCCCGTAGCTGCCTTTGCTGAGCTGTCCATTCTTGGTTCACTCTTGGGAGTTCTTGACCTCTTGCTTTTTGCAACTCCTTAAAGTCTGCATAGTCCAGCAGCACAGTGAAGTCCTGTCCTCTCCTCCTCCAGTAGGCGACATCATTTGAATGTAACATATGGCCTTTGTTGACATCACAAAATCTGTAAGAAACATAGATGGAGTTGTCATTTCGCTTCCACTGAATTTCATATTGAGTGGTCAGCTTGTCTGAAAATCTCTCCTGATCTGTTTTTTACAAAGGTGGAACTGAGATGTGTTACTTCAGTGTTTAAAACATCTGAAAAACAAGAGAATGGGCAAGGTTTGAAATGTATTCCATTTATTTTTATTCCAAAAAAACTATGTCAAAATAACTCCCAATATTTGTTCAATGAATAACCATTTTGGTTACACAAAAAACAAATTACTGATCAGCTGATATATATGACTGTGTCTGTAAGTGAATGTTATAGTTTTGAATTTGAAAAAAGATGCATTGGAGCAAAGGGACAGTTACTGACAAGACGTCTGATGCCACACGATGAGACAATGTGAGATTACATAGCTTTGCCATTTCAGCTTAATTAAGGATCGATTCACTGAGAAAAATTATTATACAGAATGGGGCAAAAAGTGTTTTGGAAAAAAATTTATTACAATAAATTTTGAAACAACTGACGTGCTTGCCTTACTGTGTAACCATACTACTGACTTTGTCTCAGTTAAAGTATATGTTCAGATATGGTGCGAACGATAACTTAAAAATATAAAACCCATAGGGTTTCACTTGCACAACTCCAGACTGAGATAAATACAGCTTTCCCTCATAATTCAAAATATCCAATAACTTCTGTGTTATTGACGGAGCTAACACAGTTTATATTATCATTACAATGAAGGTCTGTCTAGCATATTGACTCTTTATAAGGGTAGGAGGAGGTGGGTTTCCGGAAAAAAACCTAGCAAATGCATATGACAAGTTTGACCAAAAATGGCAAACATAATATCCCTCCTCTCATGATTTATGTGAGAAGAGGAGGAAGGGGAAGAAAGAAATGAGAAAATGAACTAAGAGTAACAATGTTCGGCAGCTCTATTAATTATATGACATAGAAACACCAAACAAGTCATGCCTGTCAAAATGCCTGTGAAAATGAGCTGTGAAATCATCAGCCCAAAGATACAGAATATCAGAAGATCATATCTTACCCACTGTCTGAGGTAAGAGACTTTCCTAAGGAGTGGGTGTCAGTATGGCCTTGGTTTTTACTCTCCCGTTTCAGCTGGTTTCTATTCTGAGGCTGAATGCTGTTGGAACAGCTGTAAATTTGGTGTTCCCGCAAACCGTTATTGTTTCCAAAGGGCACAAGGAGCCTTCTTTCGCAGCCATTCACTGTCCCATGCTGATGCCTTTTCTCCAGGATTCCATGGTGTTCATTGTAGGATGGTGGTGTGGATAACAGCGGCTGGTGTGATGAGGAAGCATTGTGTAGTCTAGGTGTCGAGGATGCATTATGCTTAGGCAGCTTGTATCCATGAGAGATGAGGAGATCCTCCACGCTGTACATGGTTGTGTTTTTTATGTTTCTGTTTTCTGCTTTTGGCTCTTTTTATTTAATTAAAGAAAGATAGAGAAATAAAGTTGATTGTCAAGGCATCTGCTTCTTTTCAATGTGCATCAGCAGGTTCACTGGCGCAGCAGGACAAACTAGGCCATCTCTGGTAAAAAAAGAAAAAAAAATGAAGGTTTGTCATAAATATACAAGAGCGAAGAAATAATGTGACAATAAAACCACTATGGCTTCTGTCCTTGTCCTTGATTTGGAAAACATTTTATAGACTAGACCAAAAAAAATAATTCCTTCCGCCCTCCTTCTTAATATTATTTTGTCTTCACTGATGATAAAAGACAGGATGGTTAGGAATGATTAGGGTTTTTATCCACAAAGCTTAAAATTCTAAATGATAAAGTAACACCTTCTCATTCATGGTTACAACTCAGTTTGTAGACGTTGTCTGCCTTATTAGTCTGAACACTGAATAGAGTTGTGTTCCTCAAGCAAGATTCAGCAAAAAAAAAGTAGCCTTCCTGATTTTTCTACTGTATCCCTGTTAGGGGATACAGTAACAGCCTCCACCAGCTACCAGCCAGTAATCTCAAATTTCCATTGAAATGAAAACGAAGACATCTAATAAAAAGCTTGGCTATCCATTTTCTCCTACTATACACGGAGGGAATTCTGCCAGTTGCTGCCTTAAACCTCGCCAACAGGGTTTTTTAAGTGGGTGTGGAACAATGCATGACTTCTAGAAATTGTAATGTGTGTCTGCTTTAAGGGATCTTTCCTCAGTGCCTGAAAGCAGCTGTCATTAAGCCACTTTAAAATAAAGAATAGTCTAGATAAGTAACTCATGACCAGCTATAAGCCCTTATTAGACATACCGTTCTTAGTAGAATTATGGAGAAATTTGTTGTTCAACAGCTGTATGACCTCCTGACACTAAACCTGGATTTAGCACCCTCATTAAGACAGTAGTTAAATCTGCTTGTTATTATTGAGAACAAATTAAAGCACTGATGTCTCAGCAGGACTTAGAAAAACTTTCCACTTTCTATACTAATTACTCCAAATGGGGTCACAGGCAGCTGGAGCCTATACCAGCTGACAACTACAGCTACTGTTAAGGACACATAAAAAATGTTGCCCCGAGGTCTTGATTTAATCTTTTCTTTTCTCAGGAACTTCTAAAATAAAACTCATCCCAAATAGACCCACAATAACATTAGACCCACAATATCATTAGCCTTCTAAATTTGCATCACAAAGAGGCTATGTCGTTAAATTAATCTCTGTCAATAGGGAGGTCCAACGTAAAATATTAAATACTTCATTCATTTAATTCAGATTTTCTTACTGATTGGAATTTCTATATTTACATGTATGTATATGGGGTCCCTGGTTTGAATCCCAGTTTGGTACCATTTCTGTGTTGAGTTTTGTTTCTCCGTTACCCAGGCGTATGGATGCATCGGTGTGTTGGTGTATCCAGGTAACGCGAACTATGCATATGTGACCTGGAATATTTCTCTTTAACGTGCGTTCACTGCCCAGCTAAATTGAAGATTTACACCGGTTGTTGGGGAAATACAGGGACTTTCATTCCTCTACAGTTTTCCTTTAAGTGGCTTGTGCTTTGACACCTGAAGGACATCACTGACCCCATCCTGGATCTTCACTTCATCCTTTGGCACCTGGATTCCACAGGAACCTACGCCAGTATCCTGTGTTTAGATTGGCTTTTATTTACTAACTTTGGAGGGTTACTTTGTTTTACATTATTACTAGATTTAGTAATCGATTTCATAGAATTTACTAATGACTTCTGTTGGTTTTAAGAATTATATTCAGACACTGAACTCATGTTACGTCTACAGTTGTACTTCCAAATTTCTCTCTTTTTTCTATGAGACATTACATACACATCTTCAAGGACAACACTCAAGCACACACATTTCTTATCACATCTCAGTGGAACTTTGGCCAGCCTCGACGGATAGCGTCCAGCTTTAAACCTCCAAGGGCTTGAGGAAATGGTCTGACGGGTTCGGTTCTGGAACACCAGCCTTGGGATCGAGTTTGGTCATGTTAAAGTGATCTGAAGTGGTAAGAATGAATGTGCACAAAGGTTAAAATTGGTTTAGAATAAAATAGTGTTTAAAATTGAATTAAGCTGGTTCAAAATGTAATTTTCCAAAATATCTTATCGGCTTTCTTGGGAGGTTTCTGGAGACTGGGCGAGGCTGCGATTAGTCTGTGGTAGACTGATATGCACTTCAGCAGGTTCGGTACCATCAGTGAATGGGTATAGGAACAGGTATATGTATTTGAGGTAAGTCCATGTGTTACTTTTTAGAGAAAAGGACATCAGGAGTGTTGCGTTTGCAGTTTCAAAGTGCAATGACTGTCAAAATTCTGACAGGATATGGAGTATGGACATTTCTACACAGAGGCTGTGCTGAATCGAACTCTTTAAGTCTTACTGCAAAATTCACTGTGTGATCAGCTCGGGAGCGCAGCGTACGGTTCTTTTGGAAATTAGCACTGGTACAGGTACTTGGTACAAGTACAAGTGGATTAGTTTTGAAAAGAGCAACCACACAGATTTCCATTCAATTCAATTCAATTCAATTTTATGTATATAGCGCCACATCACAACAACAGTTGTCTCACAGCGCTTTCCAAACAGAGCAGGTCAGACCCTACTCTGAAGTTAATTACAGAAACCCAACAATTCCCACCATGAGCAAGCACTAGGCGACACAGGCAAGGAAAAACTTCCTTTTAATAGGCAGAAACCTCGAGCAGAACCATGGCTCAGGGTGGGCGGCCATCTGCCTCGGCCGGTTGGGGGTGAGGGAAAGAGAGGGCAAGTGATAGAGGGCGAGAGAAGGACAGAGGAGCAGAGAGAGGCAGCCAACACAGCAACACATAGACTGGATGAAAAATGGCAATGATATTAATACTAATGATAATGGTAGAAGTTATGACAGCAATAACACTATGCAGAGTAGTAGCATAGCAGCAACACAGGGGCAGCAGGAAACTCCCAACCACAGATCCAGACTCCACAGCTCTAGGAACACCTGCAGGAAGTGATAGGAGGAGACTCCCAACCCATTTCAGTGCAAGGCAGTACTATTGTGGTAATAGTAGGTGTACCGTATTTTACGCTCTATAAGGCGCTCTTAAAAGCCTTCAATTTTCTCAAAAACCAACAGTGCGCCTTATAACTCGGTGCGCCATACTGTATATATTGATCAGGAGTCGCAACAGGTCTCCCAACTACGGGAAGCAGCCGCCAACTCCATTTCTCCGGTAGAAGAAGAAGTACCGCACGATGAATGTGGGGCGAAAAGGCGCCACCTTTTGGGGATTCTGCAGTACTGTACAATGCACATATCTACTAGTACTAGTTTTAAAAGTCGACGCAGTAAGAGAATGCGGCTGTTAAAAAATTTGGACATTTAAGGTAAACATTGACTCTGATCCTAACTACGACAACAGGAAGTTCAAATAATTTCTATAGCTGCGGTTTTGTTTTTTACGAGAAAAGCTCGTCAGCTTTATGCTAGCTGCTATGTATTGTGATTGCACTAACGTTTGATTTACCGTAACGGCATCATACTGTTTCTTTTACATGTTAACTGAATGGAGGACATTACCTCGGGAAAAATAATAAAACAGCTGTTTATTCATTTTGGGGGTTGTCAGAACGCTGGTTTGTATTCTATTAATAACATTTGACTGACTTATCTCACTGTTTAGTTGGCTTTCTCTGTAGTGGATGCAGAACGCAGCCCCAGCCACTACTGTAGCTTTTAGTCTATGTGCCCTATAATGTGGTGCGCCTTGTATATGGAAACAGTTTTGACAGGCCGTTCATTGAAGGTGTCGCTTATAATTATAGTGCAGAAAATACGGTACTTGATTTTGAGTACCAGGAGCACAGCACTCCAAAGGAGGAGTGCAGCAGTACTTCAGCAAATGTATTGAGAATACCTCTTCGGAGATGTCCCTGGAGAAGTAAGGAATTATTTATCCTGACTGACTGAGCCTCTCTCACAGGCTCCATTTGCTCCATGGCTAACGCTCTTTCCTTCTCTCCCTCTGCTCCACATGCATCTGCAATCCTCAACCCCACTCTCTGCCATCTTTGTGCCTGACCTGGACTTTGGCTCCTGCCCTCCACCAGCTACCAGCTAAACAGCCCACAGCATGAGGAGAAAGCCCAGAGAAAGTTAAAGAAAGGAATACAATCCCTCAGCCTGATGTCTCCTTTAGCCAGATGCCTCCACGTCAGAACCAGCACTTCAACACAGCGTTTACCATGACTGAAGTGGTCCAAATGGACTGACATCCCAACCATGAACTGAGGCAGACATCATTGAGGCTTCCTCTCATCTTACTGACTCCTGTCCAAAGCTCACTGATGAAAAGTGCATTTTCTAAAAAGGCTCGGCCCAATAGAACTTTGCCAGACAACAACAGCTTGGCAACATTTTGGATCACAGCAGAACTCTGAGATCCTGTTCCACCCATCCAGATCTGCTGCCATGACAACCGGGCAGTGGGTGTGGGCAGAGGGTGTGAACATCTGGGGGCAAGGCAGAGGACAGTGGTGGCTGGGGTTGGAATTGATTTCTCTGTGGACACAGGACAATGGAGAAATAAATATTCCTGTTATGACACACTGACTCTGATGACCTTGGTGCTTCTGATAACACGTGAATACTGCAGCTACACATACTGCACTGTTGCTCCCTGTCTCCACTTCTCCTTCTCTTGACACTGATTTACAGGTCATGCAGAGCTTTACCTCTGCTGAGGAGGAACCAATTTGGACCTCTTCAGATGGAACTAAGCTTGTCCCTATCCAATATTTGGATCGGATCGGCCACCAATATTTGCAAAAAAATGCCAATCGGCCGGCATGAGAAAATTCCGATCCAGACTGCCGATCCAGTTTTGTTTTTAAAGTCCGATCCCACACAAGCATTAGCATATCCAAACCCACAGGTCTGTGTCCTAACCATTACGTTGTTATAACAGTAAATGTTCAACATGAGTCTGACAACTAAGTAAGTAGGCTAAATAACTTTAAACTTTAATACATGCTCTGATAGGTCGGTATCGGTATAGGCCGGTATCGGTATCGGA